ATGTAAGAACTTGTTTGTTATGCTTCAGAAGATTGGAGACTGACGAGAATTAGGCTTGAGATGGATTAATGATTGTACACTGAGCATTGACCCCCCTATACTGAATCTTATTGTTGTTAACAACCATTTGATCAATAAATATGAGAGATGCCCTCTCAAAAATAAAAAAATAAAAAAATAAAATAAAATTAAGGTTATACATGAGGAAGACTAAGGAAAGATAGTGCTACCTGGACCCACAGGGGTCAGGGGCAATAAAGTCCTCCCTGGCAAATAAATAATATATGCAAATTTTAGCTCCTCCCTTACTGCCAAGGAATTAAAAAAGAAGAAAAAATTATTGGAAGGACTTATATGAAATTCAGACAGAATAAACTTACCAAAATGAAGAGCTCACTATTTGTGATGTTGAGAAAGATGCAGTTCGCTCCCAACGCTTTCTTGAACTCTTTATGGACATTTTCATTGGAGCAGCTGCAAAGAAAGAGCGAAGTGCTCAGACGGCAGAGTGTTCAGTAGTCAAAGGTTCAGGAGAGTGAGATGAAAATGGAGAAAACTAAGGAGGGTGGACTGCAGTAAAAGAAAGGGATGAGTTCACAAGAAACTGGTGGCAAGAAGAACCCTGAAGGGCCCAGGGAACAACAGAGAAGACTGAAACTGGGAGTAGGGCCTGGGAGAAGTAAGCAGATATAAGCACTGTGAAGAGGGCCCCCCCAACTTCCAACATTCCTAACACTCACGCCTCTCTCAGATCCTCAGGCACAGCCATTGTAACCTTGAAGAAGCTGCCTTTGGTTGCGAGGGGATTGGGGTTAACTGGCCGAAGCCGTTCCAGGGTGACAATTTCATTGTAAGTTGCATCACAGGCAGCATATTCAATGACATAGAACTGGGAGGAAGAAAAGAGAAGCTGTGGATGACCTGGGCTATCTCCCACCTTTCCGTGACTAAAGTATTTGCTTCAGGAATTCTTCAAAGGCTTTCATGATCACTCACATCTCCCTTCATCATCCGCACCCGGGCCAGCCACCAGCCACAAGGTTCTTGCTCATTGGCTCGAGAATAAACCTGAAGAGAAGTTGAAAATTTAAAAGAGATATTGAGGACCATCCAAAAACATTAATGGAATAAGCATTATGACACTTGGGAGGCACAGTAAATCAAAATAAAGGAAACTAAAGGAAGGAGATGATAATTAAAAACCAGAGGGCATGGGATATGGGGTGCTGTTATCATAAATGGAAGCTCCCTGAGAGTCTGGTTGATCGCAACAGTGATGGACAGGGAACTGCTGCATTTAACTTTTCTAGTATCAGGCTCCCTGGATGGATACAGTAGCTTAGCTTGGGTTGGAAGGAGTGAACCAAGCATTAAGGAGCTGAGGACACTGGCATGAGGGCAAGGGAGATGCAGAATCCAGGGAAAAGTGACATTTAGAAAGATTGGACCCTATGGTCTGTACCTCCACCTCATCCCCTTCTGTGATCTCCTTATTATAGTCCTCTGGAGGTGGTAGCCGGACATCCCCAAAAGGAATCTGTCTCTCACTCTGCCAGCTGCAAAGGAAATGGTGATATGAAAGCTATTCAGGCTAAGGTGGTTGCCCATTTCTTCAGGAAGAGGTTATTGCCTCCACTGGGCAATTTCCACCTTCCCTGGAGATTAAAGACTAAACCCATAATGGGCTAAACCCCATATGGCCCTGCTCCAGAATGGTGTCATCTATCCCTTGCTAGAATTTTAAGTACTGGGTCAAATGCCCCCTCCACCCTAAAAAATTTCAGCCCTTTCTTCTCCTGGGATCCACATAAATTGCCTAGCCAAACCCTTAACTCTCCCCCACCTATTACATGCCTCATGGGACTCAGCCACCCCCTCTTCTCCACTCTCCTTCTAGGACCTAGTATGCTGGATTTGCTATTCCCAGGGTCTTACTTGTTTTCAAAGAAGATGGTGACAGAGTCTTCATGGACATCCTTCACAAAGCCCTAGAATGGATTTCAGAGCAAAATAAAATGACAATTCACCATAACCCCAGCCATCAAGGGAACAGAGACATATTTGGAGGCCCTTAAACTAGAGTTTTAGATGGGGACACAAACAATCTTAACGACAGGTGCCAGGAAAAGCTGTAATGGAGAAAGAATATGAATGCTAAGGTAGAGAGAAAAATTATACTGGCATGGAAAAAAATGGAGGCAAAATCCAGAAATAAGAGACAGAAATTAAGTGGGAGGGGCAAACACCTACATGAGAACTGCGTGGAAACTTGATGGCCTACTATGGCTCCCACAGGGGCCTCTCTATCTTGTCTGCCTCCTGTTGTGTTAGCAGTTTGCCAGAGTTCAATTAAAATACCAACAACAGTCAGTAAGGCTAAGAATACCCCATGAGACAGTGTGAAGCTTTCCTGGAACACCTAGAGGACATGAGGATCTGGTCAGAGAGAGAAGGGTCTAGCTCTTCAATACAGCAAGAAACCTGAGCAAACTTGGTGCCCTGATGCCTGAGTCCTAAGAGAATAATCAGAAAATTGGAGAAGTTCAAAACAATGAACACAATTTACAGAAGGAAAAACTAGGATTTAAGAGAGATGAGATTTCTGAACGCTAGCCTATGACAATGATAAGAATTTTAAAAGAATAATAAACTAGTAGAAGACCCCAATCTTGAAATCATGACAGGGAAGAACAGGGATGATCAAATACCTGGTCTACCTCCTATTTCTATGTCCTCACTGAAGAAGCCAAAGCTGTATTCACTCCTATGCTCCCAATTTTTCTACCTTCCCTCCCTATTTTTCACATGTTCAAAATTAGGGACAGCTAATTTTGATAAAATCCAATTTGCCAATTTATTCTTTTATGACTGGGCTGTTGGGTTTAAATCTAAGAAATCTTTGCCCAATCCAAGGCCTCAAAAGTTTTCTCCTGTGTCTTCTAGAAGTTTTGGTTTTTATTTTACATTTAGGTCTATGAGGTCCATTCTGAGTTAAATTTCATATGTGGTGCAAGATATGATCAAAGTGCACTTTTTACCTATAGCTATCCAGTTGTTTGAATACCACTGTTGAAAAGACTATCCTTTCTCTACTGAATTGCTTTTTCACTCTGTTAAAAATCAGAAAATGCAAATAAATGTATGACAGAAGCAGACAGGTGGTTGATGGAGGACTTTGGGGAGTGACAGAAATGTTATCTTGGGCTAAAGTTTTGTTTTATATACACACACACATCAAAACTTAGCAAATTTTATAGTTTAAATATGTATAATTCATTGTATGTCAACTACACCTCAATAAAGCTGTTAAAAAAATTAGAGGTTTCAAAAATAGCAGATTCACAGAACCCAAGAATGGACCAACAGTTACCAAAGGGAAAAGGATTGGGGAGGGTGGATGGGAAGGGAGGGATAAGGGGATTAAGGGACATTATGATCAGCACACATAATATAGGGGGGCCAAGGGGAAGGAAGTATAGCACAGAGAAGATAAGTAGTGACTCTATGGCATCTTACAATGCTGATGGACAGTGACTACAATGGGGTATGCGGTGGGGACTTGATAATAGGGGGAATGTAGTAACCACAGTGTTGCTCATGAGAAACCTGAGCATAAGAGTGTGTTATCAATGATACCTTAATGAAAAAATGATAAAATAAAATAAACAAAAACAAAAACAAACAAAAATTAGAGGTTTCAAAAGGCTAAGATATAGGAACTATTCCTGAGCTTTGTAGCCAGGTACAAAAGCTGAGCTTCGGAGAGAAAACATCAAAAATGCATACCCGTGTCACTTCCACCTCACCTAATTGGTCAGTCATAAATAGTTACTTTATTGTTATTTCCTTACAGCGGGAAAATCTAAACCTAAATTTCACTCCTGACACAAGCCATCTTTCTCCTCTTTCAGAATAGGATCTTGTTAAGGAGTCTTACTACTGCCCAAGGTATGAGTACTTCTGGTACTGCTGGGCCTCTTCCTTACTCTTCCTCTTCCTTAAGAAAGCTTTATCTTTTTCTGCCATTCCCTTCCCCAGAAATGTTTTTTCCACTCTTCATTCAGCTTCACCTATACCCACTCCCACTATTCTCCACTGCCATCTTCCAGGCACTTTTACTCCTATCTGCTTAAGTTCCCCTCCTCCTTTTTGGATTCTTCCCTTCAGCTCCTTCTCAAGTGTTCTCCTCCCTCCTGCCACAACAACTAATGTTGTATCCCTTCCCTCCTCTTTCTCCCTCTTCTTAAGGGTCTGTTTGGAGTTCTAGAAACATTTCAACCAGACTCTTCAGGTGACTTTATCCAACTCTTTATCCAAAATGTCTATCTCCAAGTTTTAGAAATAGTGTATCAAGAGTTAGCTAGTCTCAAAACATTTTAGAGTGGGATAAAAGGAAGAGGAAAAGATAGAAGAGAATCACTTGCCTGCCTCTTTTGTGAAGAGATTCCAACTCCTAGATATACTCATTGCAAAGGATATGCCTAAGGCTCTATCCAAATTCTCCTCCAACATGTCAGGATTGGCCCTCAGGCAAAGGTAGCAATATTATCACCCTGGTTTTCCCAACTAGCAGAGATCCCAAAGGCAAACACAGAGAGCTCAGAATGGAGTTTTCCCTCACATTATTCAACAGGTTCAACCAAATGCCACTCACTCTTCTACTTCCAGGGTCTTTTTCTTTCAGTCTCCAAAACAAGTTGTCTACTCAACTTCACATTCCAATTCAGTCTTTACTCCTTAATTTTATCCACATCACCTCAGGTTTTTTTTTCCTCCAAAGATACCAGTGGTAAAGTGAGCTCCCAGTTCTGTTCAGTCCATGCTGACTGGGAAGATAAGCAGGTAACGGGGCAAGAGCAACTGAATCAGTCTCTATAAAACCAACTACATCCAGAGGATGACTGGATTCAGTAGCCATGATATATCCTGGCTCTGGCTTATAGGACCTAGGACCACAGAGGAAGAGAGCCCTAGGTTCCTGGGTACTTCATTTCCCTTAAATTAGAAGATATGAAATTAGCTCTCGCCTTCAACCTATCTCCTAGTCCCAGGCAATAAAAAGAAAGGAGGGAGTTCTATGAGAAAAACAGGAAGACCCACATGCTGAAGCTGAGGATACCATATTCCTCAAGATAGAATGGTAATTAGAATACCCAAGCAAGGTCTGGAGAGTTGGATGACTGTCCCCTGGAAGGGGAGCAGATTATTTAATCTGGGGCAGTACAACGTAAAAGAATAAATACATTGAGTTCTGACAGAAAATGAAGAGTTGATGAGATAGCTACACAAGGAAACTGGGATTTAACCAGTGCTGACATTTGCCATTCTACCATGGAAGAAGATCAACAACAGGACCAATTCTGAGTCAGGAGAAATGGACCTTCCCAAATTTACAGTTATAGAAGCAATGTAAACACTCCGTGACCCACACGCAAGTTTGCTGAGTCATGAATATTAAATCAGTAGCAAGGTCAGAATGGGTAAGTATCAAAATGGTACTGAGAGTTGAAGATTAGTCTGAAATTAGGGACTTACTGTTTTTAACTGAGCTTTGGGGCAGAAAATGCTAAAGCAGCCAGAACACAAAATGCACGTTACCTGGCTTTATGCAACTCCAAACTACTCTTATGCAAGAGATCCTGTCCCCAAATCCCTCAAGTCTGTATCACTGCTATAGCCCACAGAAGAAAAGGAAAGGATTCAGTGAGATTTTCTATTGGCAACATCTCCCTTTCCAGCTGTCTAACAGTTAATCTGAACTGGACACCAATCTCCCAGCTGTGCCTGGCTCCTATGCTTCCTAAAACAAAAGCAAACATCTTACCTTGATCTCAGACTAAATTTTAAGATTCAGTCTTGGAACCCAAAATTTGGGAGTGAGAAGGATCCAGATGAAGGATAAGATACTGGGCTGAAATCTTACGAGGGTGAGTATTTCAACAAAGGTAATTCAAGTTCTGGGGAAAAGAACATTGAAATAAATGTATTCTATCAGAATCAGAAAGGAATTAGAGCTTTCTGCCAAAGAAAACAGAAATGCTATGGAGACAAGCTAGAAGAAAAAAATCCCATGAGTTAGGAAAAGTATGCAGAAAAAAATGTCAAGAGATTAGCTGGGAGCTTCCTTCAGACATGGAATAAGGTGGTTCCTGCAATTACACAGGAATACAGAAATACTAGGGTAAAAAACCAAAGATTTAAATTGAGAGTATAAGTTAAGATAGACATGGGTACTCAGAGGTACTGAATATAAACCAAAGTAGTGAAAGAAATAAGGCAGAAATGGATAAGCATTTAGAGTGAATAAAAATGACTACATTGAACTTATCAGTTGAAGCTGAGCAGAAACATCCCACTCCAAGGGCAAATATGAGACCCTTTCCAGTTTATTTGACTTCACAGGGAAGGAGTTGGAGAAAGTCATGTTCAAGGGCATGAAGGTGGAGAGGTCTATTATGGCAGAAAAGGCTTAAGAGGAAGTAAAGGAAAGGAGGCTCTTATCAAAAGTCACTTAAGATTATCTTTGCTCTTGCTCCTTAGGGTAAAATGAAAAAACAAGACAGTAATCAAAAGTCTGTGACAATCCCAGGCATAAGGTCCAAAAAAGATGAAAATAACAACAGTCACAGAAAGACAAATTCCTCAAAGGTTAGAGAGGTCTGCCTCTGGCTTAATCTAAATGGGGGAAAAATATCCTAGAAAATGGATTCAGAATAGATGAAAAAAGCGCTAACTAAAGGTGTTTTAAGGAACCAAATCTTGGACGAGGGAGGGGCTGAAGTAAGCAATGATCTTCTAAAGATAATCCCCTTCTTCAGAAAAAGGCTATCAAATTCTCAAATTGGGAGAGTTGGGCAAAGTCTTATTGAAGTGGAAATAAGATAAACAGAGAGAATCCTCATGACGGCCCCTTTCAGAAGTCATGAATGTGAAGCTTACACTCTTCAAGATGAAGAAACTGTATGAGTGACCTAAACGTATCTGAGATCCAAGTGAGATAACAAATCCAAATCCATCCTGAGTAGAATGGTAGACCAGCTAGACTTGGGATGAAGAGGTGAGAGGCTTGTGAAAAGACGCCACCCTATGGCTAGGAGGCACTGGTACTACACAGAGTTCCTCAGGTCAAAGATACCAAATGTCCTAAGTGGATTTTGACCGTTTTTCCTTCGGCTGGGAACAGAAATACATGATGAAAGTGGGGTGAGTCTTTCAGAGCCAGGAGGCAGAGGCCTGAGGAAAATGAAAGGATCTAATAGGGACGGCCTTCCCAAGAGAGTAATAGGGGAGAATAAAGAGAATTCCACGTGCTTGGACTGTGGGTTAAATGGGACTAAGGTCTAAGGTAGGTCTTCTACTAGGAAACAGTGAAAAGTCAGTTAAGAAGCTGGGTAAAGGGGGTCTCGGGGCGAGAGAGGGCGCTGATCCAAGCACAATAATGCCCTGATGTTCATTCTCTCTGAAATGGGGGGAGGGGGGGTGAAAGCAAGTACAGAGGGGCCAAAAATAAGAGAGTAAGGGGGTTGACTTCCAGAGGGCTCCCCAGGAGAACTGCGGGTGGGAGCGCGGCTGTAAGGTTCTAGGGGTCAGGACTTAGCTCCAGAAACTCGATCCCGCCCCACGCCTTCCTTCTCTGGCTGGGGGAGGGAGCCGAAGACGGGTGTCCCCGGTCGGCGCGCCGCCTCACCTTGTAGAAGGCCCCGTTGGAGCCGCGCACCTCGACGGGCAGTCCCGGCTCCACATCCCCACCAGAGGCTAGGCCGCCCATGGCGCCGCCACCGCCTCCGGCTCCCCCAGCGGCGGGTGAAGCAGCGGTCTGAGTGCGGGCCGGGCCAGGCCCCCGGCGTCTCCCGGGAGGAGGAGCCGGAGGGGGAGCCGCGGGGGGCGGGAGCCGGGCCGGCCCCACGGCGGCCCTGCCACAGCCAACGAGCAGGGGGCCAGGGCCGGGCCGCTCCCCGTCCGCCGCCGCCGCCGCCGCCGCCTTGGTCTCCGCCACCGTGAGGGAAACGGCCGCCGCCGCCGCTGCCTTCGTCACCTCAGCTTCCGCCCGCCGCTGCCCCCGCTGCTGCCTAAGTCCCGGGACGCGCTGCTGCCGCTGCCGCTCCACAGCCTCCACCTCCCCCTGCCGCCGCCGCCTGCTGCGCAGGCGCACTGGGCACCCGCCCGCCGGGTTCGGGGCCCCGAGGGACACGGCGCAGGCGTCAAGGCTGGCGAACCAGCTCGCGTTCGCCAGCGCATCAGGGCTTCCACTCTCTCCTTCACTCTCTCACGCCCCCTCCTGGTAGCTTGCTTGCGCTTGCGCAGAACGAGACTGGCCCTCTTCACCGCCCCGCAATTGCACCGCCCCCATCTCTTCCTTTCCCCGCCCCACAACACTGAGCGCTAACCAATCATGGGGAGGAAGGGCAGAGCTCACTCAGTCGGATTGGGTTTCTGCAGCTCTTGGTCAGACCACATGCACTTCTCACTGTGAGCTCCACCAGGCTTGGATAAATTAGGGTTGGGCATGCGCCTGAGTGACTGCTTGGTCACTTTCCCCCTTTTTGTCTTTCTTGGTGCGCACGCTCCGAAGAAAAACAGGAGGAGCCCAAAGGCAAAAAAAATGTTCTTGGTGCGCACGCGCTGTTTTTTTTTTTCTGTCTACTTGCACATAATCTGTAGCGTTTTGTACTGTGTGCTGTGGGTTGAAAAGTCAGTCATATTCTTGTCTTGAGAAAATTGCCATCATGCATATAATGAAAGGTTAAAGAATAATTTTAAGACAGTATCGAAAAGCAAGTGCAACTTAGATTAGCACAAGCTTTTATATCTAAATGCTGAGGAAATTCAAAATAGGAAAAATCGTTACGGAATAAGGATAGGAGAGGGAAAATACAAAGTTTCTTACTAAGACAAGTAAGAAATTTAGGTAGAAGTGAATAAAATAGCACAGAAATTAGAATCATATGCTGCGCATTTAATGATTTAGTAAATATTTAGGTAGCCCTCACTGTATTCCAATTACTGTGGTAAGTGTTAGGGATACAAAGAATTTTAATAACATATTGGGGAAGGGGCAGACAGTTAAACAAGCTTTAATAAGTAAGCACACAGAGCTCTATCAAAGATGTGATAAGAAAACTAGGTATAAAGGGAATCCCAAGGAGACAATAGTTATTCTTCCGAAAGATCAGTGAAGACCACTGCAGAGGAGGTGATGCAAACTGAGATTTGAGGGATGGTAGGAGTTCGCTAGTGGAAAAGTGCAGCAAGAGAGAGTATTCTTAAAACAATACAATAGGGCAGAGGCGCAGAAAGAGCATGTTCTTTGGGGAATCACAACTAGTTCGAATAGCATTTGACCTAAAGTAAGAAGCTGCAGGAAACTAGGCTGTGAAGGACTTATAAATCAGATTAAGGAGAATGACTTTTACTTTATCAATACTGGAAAGCCAATGAACTTTAAGTGGTAATATAACATGGTAACAATGTAGGGGGAGCACGGGGAAGGCAGTATAGCACAGAGAAGACAAACAGTGACTTTCTAGCATCTTACTATGCTGGACAGTGACTGTAATGGGGTATGTGGTGGGGACTTGATAATGGGGAAATCTAGTAACCACAATGTTGCTCATGTAATTGTATATTAATGATACATACATATATATATAGCATGGTAGGTCTGCATTTTATAACTATGGAGACTAGATTAAAGAGTAAGGACTGTCCCAAAGGCAGTAAGACCTATGAGGAGCTGTTGCAGGTGAGAAAGATGCTGAGGATGTATTTGGATTAGGGCTATGGGCAACAGAGGTACAAAATGGTTTGAGGCTGTTAAATTTGCAACAGAATCAACCAGAATTGGTGATGAGCATAGGATGGGGTCAGGAGCCAGTCAAGGAGTGGGAGAAATACAGGACAACTTCCAGATCTGTACTTTAGGTTACTGAGTGACTGGTGAGGCCAATCATGAAAGAGAGAACTCAGAAGACAAAGTTTGGAAGAGAAGTTGATGAGTTTAATGAGTTTGGTTTTGCTCTTTGAGGGTCCACCATCTAGATGTACACGACTCCTTGTCTTCAACAAACTTCTCTTTCAGGTCATTAAATATAATTTATTTTGCCTTCCACTATGCCCATCCTAGGTTAGGTCTCCTGTCTCACACAGCCAACGCATCCTATACTCCTTTGTGGCACTCATCATGGTTGTAATATTAATAAATTGCCCAGTGTCTGTCTTCTGTTATCATACCATAAGCCCTGTGGGGTCAGAGACTGGGTTTCAGCCTTTTGGTCCCCACCACTGAATGCCCAGTACCTAGCACAATTCCCGGTATGGAAAATATTAACTGAATAAAAGAATCAATGTCCTCTAGCTCAATGGACACACTGGTCCAATGTGGTCCAGGAGAGATCTGGGCTAGAGAGGTGGATGTGGGAATCATTAGCATATTAGTCACAGTTAAAACTGAAAGAGAAAATTAAATCTCTGAAGAAAAGTGTAGACAGAAAGGGATGGGTCCATAATGAAACTCTCAACTATGCTAGTATCTAAAGGGCTGGCAAAAGAAGAGGTGGCAGAAATGGTAAAGAAATTATTGACAGTGATTCCAATAAGGAGTTGGGAAACAAAGACATTAAGTGGGGCAGATCATCAAGATTGCTGTCAGAAGAGTTTTGGTGTAGACTCAGACATTAGGAGTGACTGAATTTTGTCCTAGAAATGGCACCATCACCAAGTTCCAAGCCTCTGGCAACAACAATCCTCTCCAATTTGACTTTTCCTCTTCTTCATTTGCTCTAGTCATTGTTCATTCAGGCAAAAGGTGGGAATGGGAAAAGGGGCAACATTTCAGACAGGGGAATGGCATGTGCAGAAGGCCCACAGGGGAAAGTACAGTGAATCTGGGGTACTGAAGAAAGTCTAATATGGTTAGAACTGACTTGGAAAGGAAACTTAACTGGAAGGGTTGGTTTGGGCCAGATCTTGGAGATACTGGAACATATTTAGAAGTTTCGGCTTTCTACTGAGAGCAGTGGGAGTCATTACAGGATTTTCAGCATACTTGCCTTTAGTAAGATTAGTAAGGATAGTTAAGATTTAGTAAGATTTCCTCTTCAGAGGACAAGCGCAGAAAGAGAGAGTATTTTTAAGGGAACAAGGAATGCAATGGTACAGAGGACCTGCACCATCTAACTGGATTACAAAGGATGTGTCAACAGAAATGTCCCAGCTTGCGTTGACTTCTAAATACAGAGACAAATTGGGAGGAAGATAGAAAGATGGATAGATTGATATGGATGGCTGTATACTTAAAATGAGGATTAAATGAAAGTTTACATACTGAATTTTGAGACTTGCCCTAGACTTCTTCACCCAGCTCTGAGAATACCTACAGCCAGGTTTATATCCTTCATGCAGGAGTTTGGAAGAATCTTCTTTGGGAAATCTTATCAGACAAGATAGAAGACCTAATGATACTAAAATCAAGGGTTCCTCAAGAAATGGCCTGGTGGATCACCCTATGGCAAAATCCACAGTCAACATGTCTCTTTACCTCCCACATATACACAGTTTCCAAGAAGTGTCTCAATTTTAAATATGAGTAGACAGTTGAAGATTGCCTGCCATTTGAGGAAAGCCTCTAAAATGAAAGAATGAAGCGAAAGAGAGAGAGAAAGAACCTTAGAAGAAATAAAGACTGCAAGGAGAAAAACATTTTTGAAATAAATATGAATATCCTTAGATAAGAACATATATCCATGGAACAAAACAGAATGTTTTCAAAATGCAGGGAATGAGAGAGCTCTTAGAAATTAAAATAAAAATTCAATAGGAGGGTTTGAAAATAAAATCAAAGAAATCTCTCAGAAAGTAGAGCAAAAAATGAAAGCAATCATAAAAAAGGAAAGAAAATATAAGAAAATTAAACAACTAGTTCATGGGATTCAGTATCTGGGTAACAAAATTCCAGAAAGAACAGGGAGAATGGAGGGAAGGAAATCATCCAAAAACTAATCATAATATTACAAATTTTTTTCCATACCTGAAGAACATGAATTTTCTCATTGGGAAGACCCACTGAGACCACACTAAGACTTTTCCATATGAGATCTCAGAATGCTCGGATAAAGAGAAGATCCTTGAAGCTGTGGTTGGGGAAAGAGGAAAGGAAGATGGAAGGAAAATTAAAATGGGCTGCATACCAAGGGATCCAGAATAAGAAAGGTTTCAGCTTCTTAGCAACAACAGAAGCTTGACGAGAATGGAGATATGTCTGCAAAATTCTTAGGGTAAATTATTACCAACCCAGCATGTGATACCCAGCCACAGTGTCAATTAACTGCAAGGGTAGAAAAAAGACATTTTCAGACTACCAAGGTCCCAACAAATTTATCTCCTAGGCACCATTTCTCAAGAAACTCCATCAAAATAAACCAAGAAAGATGAAGACAAAGCTTCCAGGAAACAGGGTATCAACCCAAGAGAGAGGCAAAGGGAGTTCCTAGGATGGATGGGCAGGGAGATTGCAACACTGCAGTCTAAAGGTCAGCCTCAAATCAAAATACCTACATGTTTGTATATCCTTAAAGAGATTAACACAACTATGGGAGAATTTTGAGACAAATTAGTGTACACAGAAAAGTAAGCAAATATAGAACAAGGCAAGTATTAACTCCTGGGAAAACAAAAATGGTTCAGGAAATAAAAACAATCATATGTACATGGAGCAGTTACATAATCATAATGTAAACACTAAACACAGATCCAGTCAGAATTATGATATAATACTGGCATGATAGGAAATGGGGCGGAGAGGGTGGGGAAATGGCAGAGTCAGTAGTGGGAAGTCAATAGCTAATGCTGAAAACAGAAACATTAAAAAGTAACAATATTTGCATACAATTTTTAGTTTTGAGTTATATAGGTGAATACAAAACAATTAAAAAACCCAATTGAAAGTAACTGTCTTTGAAGAGTGAGGGTAGTTGGAAGACTTTTTAAATTAAGCCCTGTAGAACTATTGGACTCTTAATATACTGTATTATCTATAATATACTCTCTGTTTATTGGTGCATTCTTCCAGAAATAATTTTTTCTGCATTAATATTTAAGTTTAAAAAGCCCCATCATTAGATACATTGATCATGCTTCAAAGATACTAATCTTTGTCAGGATAAGAGATAAACCAAAAATGCCTAATGATATTAAACCGAATTCTTCTGGTTCTCAACTCTGGGAGGGGCTGATCAGCTTTATTATCTCTTGATCAAGATTGTCCTGACTACATTGGCTCTAAGGGCCAAAAATTGGCACCAGGAATAATTGGGCCCCTGAGGTGTTATGTTTGGCTGACTCTTATTTTTATTTGAATTTTAAGGTAGATCTTCAATTCTCTAGACTTCCATAGATCCTATTTCTTAGACATTTATGTACCTGCCTGTACCCTTTTACTGTCTAAATTATAACCATTCAACCAATAGTTCAACAAAAGAAATTATATCCCACATCAAAAGTGATAACAAATCTATGTTTAATAGCATGGGATGGTGTTTCTGATATACTGTTAAATGAAAAAAACAGGTTACAAAAGGGTATAATTCCATGAACCCCTACTCACTTAATTATATATACATGTACATTGAAAAAAATGCAGAGAATTGATACCAAAGGTTAATATAGGAGTTGTATAAGACTATTGATTCTATTTTATAAGTACTGCCTGATTTTTCTACAACAGACCTGCATTACTTGAGTAATAAAATACTATGAAAGTAGGAAATGAGCCTGTTTCCCTACTTGTTGCCATGGGTCCTGAAAGTTTGTTTTAGTTTTGCAGAACTGAAAATAAAGACTTTGTAACTTTGTAGTGTTTGAAAAGTACGAGCTAACTGAGCTGATTTGGGGCAAGTGGTCATTCCCAGTGCCCCTGAAATGCCATCAACATATGACAGCCTGCTCCATCTTTGGAGGTGGCAGGCCCGCCTCAATCATGGATCTGGGAATAACGAAGTCCAAACATTGGAGGCCTTTGTCTGCGTCCCAAACCCAACCAATAGGCCTGATGTGCCAAGCTGGCCTCTCGCTGCTCTTTAAATTCCACCAGCCAGAACCAAGATTCCAGCCTACTGAGTGTGAAAGTCTCCCTGGGCCCACCTTTATCCCTAGGAGCAATCCACTGACAAGAACACTCAGGAAGCACCATAAAGTAGCTGATGCTTATCTCAGCATCAACTGCTCTACTCAACACATCAGGACATAATAATTCTTGTTTATTTTTCACCCTCAACAAGGAGGTGGGAAGGCCTCTCCCTCAATTCTGCTCTTTCCATATTTGGAGAATAATCACTCTTAACCCTCCTTACTTCAGAGAGTCCTTTGTCAGTACAGACAGTCTCTAAGGAGTTCTTGAGTTGGTGGGGAAGGAGAAGCTCAGACAGACAGATCCTTGGAGGGATGGCATCATTTTCCTGCTAATTTCCTCATCGCTTCTCCTTCAAAGCGAAAGGAGTGCCAGCCCTCAGCTTCAGTCAGATCTTGGGCTCCTAGGGCCTTGTACAAGTCCATGGCTCTCTTGTTCCAGTCCAGAACTGCAAGGCGGAACTGGGAGCAGCCCTTATCCAGGGCCACCTGTGGTAGAAGCCATCACTTACTTTCTCTGAGTCAAAAAGGAAAAGGCCTTCTCACCCTCTATTCAATCCCAGGTGCCTCCCACACACCCTTGCTTTTCCAGGGCCTAACTTGTAGCCCTGTGCATTTCCTCACCTCAGTCACCTTTTTGATTATTTTAGAACCAATTCCCTGGCCTGTTGGTGGGAAAAAGAGGCAAAAAGAGAGATTGTTTGAGTTGAAGGGGGTCAGAAAAGGCCATAGGCTGGGCTTAGGGGGCACAAGGAGTGGTTGGGTCTCTGGTTGCTTTTCTCCCAGTCCAGCCTCAGCCTCTGCCCATTACCCCAATATTCCGGCTGCACGTAGATGTCTTCCAGATAAACGTTGCGTCCCTTCCATGTGCTATAGATGAAGTAGTACAGCCCATAGCCCACCACATAGGGCCCTGAAAAAGAGAGAAAAGAGGAGTCAAGCCTCTGGGCACCTTGGGAAAACCTTTTGCGGCTGACCTGGGAGGAGAACTCTGTGGTCCCTGTTCTTACCCTGTGGCTCTCCGGGGGCAGGAAGAATTTCTGCTACCAAACAGTGATAGAAAGGATTCTCTCCAAATCCATCTGCTCTCAGGGCTGCAAGGATCGGAGATGTGAGAAAGAGATAGAGAAAAAGGGCCTGGGCGTGTGTCCAGTCTGGAGCTACCGCCTTGGGAACCATCCCTCACTTCCTCCCCAGTCTCCGTTAAGGACCCAGGGGCTGGACCCCCCACCTTCTTCACTTATCTTCACCTGATCCGAGAGTTTCTCGTACTCAGCTAGTTCCTATGGCGAGGAGAGAGAGGCTATTCTAGGGCAAATATGGCCCCGAGGCACCCCAGGGGGCGCTCCTTCCCCTGCCCTCCCCACCCCCGCCTCCGGCCGCGCGGCCTGAAACCCTCTGGGACCCTAGTTTGTGGCCCGCAGCCTTCACCCGAATCAGCCTCAGGATAGTTCCACAGTCTTCCTCTATGGCCTCTCGGATCCGAACGCAAGCCATTTCAGTCACCACGGTCTGAGACCGAAGTCCAGGACCCCCCACTTCCGTTCAGCAGAACCCGGCAAAGGGCAATTGGGACCCTTTAAAGGCACTACAAACTCGGATCCCGGAAAGCCCGGGGGGAACGGTGCGGTGCGGGTGCCGCAGGCCGGGAGGCGAGAGCCCGGCCTAGGCTTCGGCGGGGAAGTGGGAACGATCGGACGAGGCGGTGCAGGCCGGGTGGATCTCTCCGCCCCGTAAACCTTAAATTCCGCTAGGGCGGGCGCTCACCCGCCAGCCAATCAGCTCTCAGAGTAGGCCTGTCCCCCCGCCCCCAGTGACTAGGTCCTGTGACTGGGCGTCTGAGCTGGGGTCAAGGCTAGAATGTCTCGCTCAGTCGGTGTTGTTATCTGGGTTCCCAGTTTGTGGTCTATACCCCCCATGGTTCAAAAGTCACCTCCGGGTTCTTTAACTGAGGCATGTGGTGGTTATCTGCTCTACCCTTTTATCTTACCCATTAAAGCCCACTCAGACCCTGGCTGAGCCCTGAGACTCCCCACCAGTTCTGAAAGCTGTTTCCTAGGACCCTTGAGTGGCTCAAAGTGTTACTTCTCTCGGGGGCCTTTTTATTTTTAAATGGGTCAGAGAGAGAATGATGAGTTTCTGTTGGTAATGGTTAGGGCTTGTAATAAATGGATAAGAGAAGATAATTGGGAGTGGGAAACCAGTGACTTCTTAGTATCCACTAAATCAAGCTCTGTCTGAGACAATACCTCCCTGTGAGGGGAGCCTCAGAGGCCTGGGAAAATACTGAGGGAGGAGCTTGGAACAGATACCAGGCCCTGTGCCTGCGTTATCTCAATCCTCATTCCAATAACCCCATAAAAGAGGTATTATTGTTCACATTTTACAGACAAGGACACTAAAACAGTGGTGGAGTGACTTGCACATAGCCACCAGCTACATACTTGGGATTCCATGTCTCAACTCTAGTCCTGATGGAGGATACTACTTGGGAAGGTGGGCCGGACTTTTTCTACTCCTCAAAGCTGGTGGAGGCAGCCTCCCCACATGGGCAGAAGGCTTGGAGGACCCAGACTGACTCTAGAGGAGGAGAGGGGAAATGAGGTACGCTCTCCCAGCTTTCTCAGCAGTGGGGGAGGGTAGTGGAGGAACTCTGTCCCTCCTGCCGTTTGTCCTCAGTGGGGCCGTTGGGTCAGTGCCCTTGACTCCTGCCTCCCTACTTCCCTCGGGGCAACCTTTAACCCTCTACCAATCACACAAAAAACTGCCTGCTCCCCTGCCCATTCTCAGAGTTATCGAATCCTCAGAGAGCACCACAGCGGACTATGGAGCGCAGAGGTCCACTGCCCTCATTGCGTCAGCGGCGGCGGCTGCAGCTCCTGCTCCTGTTCCTGCTCCTGCTACCACCTCACAGCCACCAGGGATGGGCCTCAAGACATATTCTCCCCACCCAGGTGCAGGAGCAGGACAGGGTGCTCAGCCTACATGTGTGTTTAAATGATCTAGACTTTGGCTCTGCCCTCTACTTATCTCCTCTGGCCCCTCTTCTGTCTGTCTCTGGTATGTCCTTATTCCAGTTTGTTTATTTTCTCTTTCTGATAGAGGACCCAGGACCCTCCTGCTGTGCACGTCAGCACTGGCCCAGGACAAGAGCCTGTCACCATCATAACCTTTAACCTCACCAAGATGACAAAGTAGGGGGTGGACTAGCTTCTTGACTAGTCCTGATGACTAGTCCCCTCTCCCTCAGCTCTTCTCTTTTCCCTGTCGCCTTCCTCCCTCTCCCTGAACTCCCCCTTCTCTTACCCCACATTTAACCTCAAAGGGCACACCCCATACTCAGTCCTTCCTTTTGTGTCTTTCCAGAACCTCCTCCTCCTTTGAGATTCGAACTTGGGATCCAGAGGGAGTGATTTTGTATGGCGATACCAATCCAAAAGATGACTGGTTTATGCTAGGACTTCGGGATGGCAGGCCTGAAGTCCAAATGCACAATTACTGGGCCCAGCTTACAGTAGGTGCTGGACCCCGGCTAGATGATGGGAGGTGGCACCAGGTAAGCCAGGTCTGGTTCTGAAGGAAGGGGGTCTTGAGCTAGTCTGAGGAAGGGAAGCAGAACCAACTTAATGGGCACGCCTTTACCATTGCCATCTCACTGAATCTGTACAAAATCTCCATTTATTGTTAATCCCATTCCCATTTTTTCAGAGGGTAATTCTGCAGTTCAGTCAGTACATAAATGACAAGTCCTCAGTGAGCCAAGAATGCTTGCTGACTTTTCAAGTACTTGTTCTTTCTGCTAGACTCAGCTGCCTCTGAAGAAAGTGGTAGAGGCCCCTAGGGCCTCTAATTCTGCTTCTCTCCTTCCTGCAGGTGGAAGTGAAGGTCCTTGAGGACTCAGTGCTGCTGAGGGTGGATGGGGAGGAGGTGCTGCGCCTGAGACAGGTCTCTGGGCCCCTGGTCAACAAGCCCCAGCCCATCATGAGGCTTGCAGTGGCAGGGCTGCCGTTCCCCGCCTCCAACCTTCGGCTGCCGGTAACTGTATCACAGGGGTGGGAACCATGATGGAAGCGGTAAAGCATTGCTGGCTGCATGACTGTGGGAGTCTAAGTCACACTTTTGAGGAGCTAGGAAGGTATGAGAGCTGCATGGGGGAGGCCAAATGCTTGTGTCTCAGAGTGGAATAAGCTGAGGGTTAGGGGGTTTGTGCAGGGGCTCAGATGTCCTGATTGTGACAAGCCTGTACCTTCCCTTCCCCCCCACTGGCTCCAGCTGGCCCCTGCCCTGGATGCCTGCCTGCGCCGGTATAAGTGGCTGGACCAACAGGCGCAGATCTCAGCATCTGCCCCCACTAGTCTCAGCAGCTGTGCGGTAGAGTCCCAACCTGGGATATTCTTCCCTCCAGGGACTTGTGCAGAATTCAGTCTCCAAGGTAAAGACTGTTTTTCCCTCCATGGCCAGCTCTGTGTCTGCCTTCCTCTGTCTCCCTCCACCACCCTCCACGCCTCCCCAGTCTTGAGGCCTCAGGGGGCACATTTCTCCCTGCAGACATACCCCAGCCTTATAAAGAGCCCTGGGCCTTCTCTCTGGACCTGGGATTCCAACTGGCAGTAGGCTCCGGTCCCCTTCTTTCCTTTGGGACCCCAGAAAACCCTTCTTGGCTCAGCCTTTACCTCCAAGATCAAGTAAGGGATGGAGGGGGGACTGTCTGTAGTCAGTGGCACCTGGGAGCAACAGGGGGAAAGGGAAACTCCAAAATGTCAATATTAGGAAGGCTTAAAAGTGTGGTGGGGGCCAGAGACACATCTTGAAGTTGCCCACAGCAAACAATTGACTTTTATTTAGATTGTTTATTTATTAGGGTGGGTATGGTTTTATAGACGGTCAAACTAGGTAAACTGAGATAGGATTTAGGTGGTAGGAATGGCCAGTAAATAGAAGGTGTGACCAGAGGCAGAATTAAGGCAGCTGGCGTGGGGCCACAAGGTACATTCTTTCCTCCTCCACCTATGTCTCTGTCCCACACAATTCGCAGAAGGTGGTGCTGTCTTCTGGGTCAGGGCCAAGGCTAGATCTGCCTCTGGTCTTGGGACTCCCTCTTCAACTGAAGCTGGCTGTGTCTGGAGTGGTCTTGAGCCAGGGGGCAAAGAAGGAAATCCTTCCTTTGCCTCCCTTGGGCCTTGACTCCCTCCTCGAACTCTGGGTCCAGCCACAGGGACGTCTCTTCCTGGGCACTTTGCCAGGTAAAAGAGAGTTATGTCCAAGTTCCTTAGCACACCACTGGAAAATGCTCAAGGAAAGGGAGAAGATAGGAAGGGGCACATTTTTAGGGGAAAGAAACCTCTGGGATGGACAAAGAACAGGCCACACAAGAGGAGAGGGGAATAGGCGACAGTGGGAGGAAGTGCTTTCAAATACTTAGGTTGGAGAACTGGAAAAGTGGGGAGGGGCTTCCAATGCCCTAATGCTCCTTCCACGCCACCTCCCTCTAGGAGAGGCCTCTTCTGCCTCCTTTTGCTTGGACAGCCTTTGGGCACAAGACCAGAAGTTGGACATGGACCAGGCCCTGAACAGAAGCCAGAATATCTGGACTCACAGCTGTCCCCAGAGTCCAGGCAATGACACTGACACCACCCATTAAATCCCCACCTGTGAACCCCCTTTGAACGTTATTCATTTATTCAACAAATATTTGCTGTGTATCTGCAATGTACCAGGCACTTTGCCAAGCATTTTGTCATATTGATGAGCAGAAACAACCCTGGTTGCTTCCTTCTTGGTGCTCCCAGTGCCCTAGGGGAGGCAGGCACCCATCAGAGGCTGACAAAGAAGTGGCTAATTGGAAGCTCTGATAAGGACCTTAAAGGAGCCAACAGGGAATTGTGAAGGCTTGGAGACCAGGGACCTTAACCTAATGTGGGGGGTTCCAGGAAGGCTTTCCTAATAAGAGGTGACATCTCAGGCTGAGATCCCAGCACCAGCATCCACAGACACACGCACAGCAGATACAGATCACTTTCTGAGAGCCAGGAGCCCACCTCCTTCCCCAGCACTTACTCCCTTGGGACTTTAGATTCCTCCTGAGGCTAGTCTTTCCAGGTGAGGAGGGAAGGGAAGAGATGGAAATCTGCTGTCCTTTAGACTGGCCATTGTTATCCAAAGGGGCAGTAGGGGGCGTAAGAGGGACATAGAAGGTTCTGGGAAAAGAGGTGGATGTTCGTAGCAGGGAGAAAGAAAAAGGCAGGAGAGCAGAGAAAGAAAGCATCTCTCTCCTAGTCTCAGTCCACTTGTAGCATTCCTAGGTGAATTTGTCTCTTCTCCATTAAACAAGATTGGATTGTGCTGGTCCCAGCTGGGAAGAACAGATTCAAGAATGTATCTGCTTTCCAAGAATATGATAACCCAGCCTTCAGCCCCCAGCCCCTTCCTGGGCACCCTCCTGTCTCAGCCTACAGCTCCCTGGGATACCCTCAAGACCAAATCCCCAGCCCCTAGCTGCCAGACCCCACTCTTCAGCCCCAGGAAATCTTTGTGTCTTAGCCCAAAGCCCCCTAGGGAGCCCTGGGATCAGCCTTCAGTCCCTTCTAAATCCTCATCCTTTTCAATAACTGTAAACCCATCCCCTGTCTCCAGACCCTATAGGGATCCCAGTGTTGCCACCTCCTAGCTTCTTACAATGCTTTTCCTGCCAGTAACCCTGGCAACGGGCTGAGTCACTCATTGGACCTGCTGTC